TCATTCTCTCTTGTATGCATATGAATGCACCCTGCGGTATAAAAATTAAGTATTTATAGAGAATCACATAATATCTAACATAAAAATTTTCAATTGAGAATCATTTGGTTTAACTCTAACCATCCTTATTATATTGATAAATCAATTAATCCCTTTGTGACTCAGTTTCAATTTGGAAATGGGTATATTATAATTTGCCTAGGATTCGTCAACAGAATGGTAAGAAGAAGAAATGAAATAATATATACTAAAGCATGTTGGAAACTTCATGGCAGTATATAAATACTAGTTGTCATTTCCTGTTATTCCTCATCCCTTTTTTGTTCATGGCTGCTCAACCCCCAAGCTAGCAGGAAAGCAAAGTCATTGGGCTTCCTCTGGTACCTTACTAGGGAAGTTAGGTTGGCCATTGGAGTTTGGTAGTACTGTAGAAGGCTAGAAGGATCACTACCGAGGTTGCTAGATGGGAGCAAATGCATGGCCTGAGCCTATCCAGATTCACTATGAGCTTCTGTTATCTCTCCTCCTTGGAAAACATCCCTAGCCACCACCTTTTTGACCTATGCCTGAATGCATCACCATATCACTGTGTAACCCCCACTAGTACACTAGTAACTTCAAAGTTGTGTTTTCTCACTTTTAAATTACCCTCCAAATTCATGTTCATGTGACTTGGAAGGGTTAGGTCTCCCAATCAGTTCTGCCCATTCCATTGCCCAGTCAGAGGACGTGGCTCCTCTGCCCAGGATTACTTTCTCTGAGCCAGCAGGCACTCCAAGACCACTCCAAGACTTTTAAAAGAACTCAGGTTTCCTGTGAGAGGACCAGGTCCTTTATGTCCTGGGTAGTCTCTTAGGGACTCTTGGGGATCTCCTTTGCCAGAAGCTAGGCAAAAGTCTAGCCAAGGTTGCAAGAAGGATTCTGAGGCTTAGGCCTGACTCAGGACTTCTCTCCTGTTAGGTCAAACTGGCAACATCCAGTCACTTCTCCCATATTTTCCATGCTTTTAGTCTCTACCTCTTCTGACCTAAACATACTCAAATAGACAAATTATTTCAAGGAATATATGAGATGTCAAAGAGCTCTTTGGAAAATGTTTTCCTATGGTTGCTTTGAAGTCCAAGAAGAACATTTTAATTTTATTTTACTTAAAATATTATCTATATTGGGGATTAAAAATACTTGTCTTCTATAAGTGCAAGAGGGTATTTTACTATTCCATACATGGTATCATTTCGACTCTGATATTATGACTGAAACAATGGAAATTTTTAATACGAATTCTATATTAAACTATAATAATATGAGTAAAATTAAATCACAGTAAAATGATGTTTCTCTAAATAGAAATTTGTGACATATTGCTATTTTTTCCTTTTTTTATAGTAAGAACTTATAAATTAGAAAATTCTGATACTTAATTATTGAAAGGAATATGGAACCGGGGATGCATGAGAGCTGAAGTATAAGTGTCTAGAGATAGAGAAAAGATGGGAAATTTGAAATAAAGGGGTCTATAGATGCTAGACAGAGAAACAACATGAAACCCAAAGATCGATAGATATAAAAAGTAAGAAAAAGAGGGGCCCAACTGTATCAGGACATATCTACTTTTTTTAAAATCATTGAGTCACAGGATATGCTTGTTAGAAAATTTTTTGTACTTTTAGAAGAAAATGTACATCTATGTCTATATATATTTTAATTTTGGAAATTATCCCAGCTACACTCGGTAAAATGAGGTCAAACTGAGGTCAACCTACTTTTATACTTTTTCGTACTATCAAATCATAAATAACTACTTCAAGAACACCATTCCTCACTTTAGCTTATGATAATCTCCTTTTAAGCCTTACCAATAAACAAAGTATTCCATTAATGTTTACGTAATATTATGTGATGAACTTTAATGTTAGCATTGGAATGCTATTTTGCTTTGAGATTACTGGCCCATCACATACTAATGATATAAATTGGCTTATCACTCACTTTGAAGAAGAGGAAAAACTGACAAACCTATTGTGTGCATGTGTGTGTGTGTGTGTGTGGGCATGTGTGTGTGTCGTGTGTGTGTGTGTGTGTGTGTGAGAGAGACAGAGAGAGAGAGAGAGAGAGAGAAATTCCAAAGTCAGATTGAAGGTTCTGGTTTTAACTACTTTCAGATGACTATTTGGAATTTGACCTATGGTGTTTCATTTTGGTAAAATAAGCAAAGTAAAATAATCTGTCAAAAGACTGGGCTTAAGGGAGAAATAGGAGGAAGGGGAAATAATGATCAGCCATGTCCATCCTGAGTCACCTCCTGGAGTCTAAGCTAAGTAGTTAAAATTCATTTCATCCCTTCTCTGACACAGCAAACAGAGGTATTGCCAGTCAAGATAGGACACAAATGGCTTGTATTTCATTTTTCATAAAAGCTTAGACCAATCAACCCTTCCTACTGAGACAGGACTTTTCATCTGGGTAAAAATAGAGAGACAGTCTCAAAATGAAATGCTGGATTTCTCACTCAGAAGGGTTCATTGTGCTAGACATAGAGAAGATAGAGAACAGCAGCTTGAAATATGTTGAAACTCCTGCATTTTATTAATCTTTGAGCTATTGCACAAAGGGATATTTTCTGATTTTCTTTTTTATAGTTTCTTCTTTATTTCTTTTAAATCAAAGACACGATTTCCTTGATTAAGCAGCATGATAGGAATCAAATGCATTTTCAAGGGTCAGTGCCAGATAAAAAGATCTTGTACATTAACATTTAGAGATCACAACAACAGGTTGATTTCAATTTAAACCCCAAAGAGCTGCATTGTACTAATGCAAGAAAAATAACATAATTTTAGTGCACATTTGTGAGAAAGTAAGAAAGATTATAAATTTGATTTTCCTTTCTATTAAGGGAAATCTGAAAGTTTCTGAAATAGATTTGGGAGTAATATTTCTTTTAGGAGCAAAAATATTTAACTTTTGGAACTATGTGAATGTTAATATGATCAATCACTTTATTTAAGCCATCAATAAATTTTTTAATGACTGCATTTCGATCATCATGTCCTATACTAGGCTCTGGATCTTGGTCATGCACGCACACACACTTGGCATGAGTTTAAGCCACCAGGTCTGGGACTTGAATTTCAGTCGACTACATGGGAGTCCAGTGACATAGACATTACACCAACTGCTGGTCCCCAGAATTCTGATCTTCTGTGTTTATCCAGAAAATCATATATGCTTGAAATTTTTAATTTCTTTTTTTTTTAAGAGGTTTTTTGCTGTAGGGCATGTGCGCTTGCCAGACAGACAGAGACAGAGAGACAGAAAGTGAGAAATCACCCCCCAAGGGGGATGTCCATGCCACAATCCCTTCTCCTCCATTCTCCTCTCGGGATCTTGGATACGCATGCACACACGCCCGGCGTGAGTTTAAGCCACTGGGTCTGGAACTTGAACTGTGGTCGACTACGTGGGAGTCCAGCGACATAGCCAATACACTAACTGCTGGTCCCTTTAATTTCTTTTTAAAAGAATTATTTTATTCAATTTTATTATTATTATTTTTGATTTGACCAAGGAGAGACAGACAGAGAGAGAGAAAGCAAGCCACCAGGTCTGGAACCTGAACCATGGTTGGTCATATGGAAATCCAGCATCTCAACCATTATACCACCTCCCAGTCCAAAATTTATTATTTTTTATCATGTATCTTATATGCTAAAATGCCTTTTTTGATTCACTGACAAAATTTAATTCTCATCTATATTCTTAATGTGTATATAGCAGTCCACACTGTTGGCCACTCCTTACTTCTTGAAATACTGTCTTTTTCAATTTCTAGACACTGGACTTTTCCAGCTTTAGTCATATTTTTTGCTTACCGCTCAGACTCTTGGTGATTCTTTCTCCTCTACCTACCAACAAAAGTTAAAGTTCTTATGGTACAATGTTTGGGCTTTTTCTTATTTTACTTTTTATTTAGATGATGTCATTCTAGACATTTGCCTAAATTCTGACAATTCACAAACATATCTTTAGCCTCGACTTCACCTCTGATACCTAGATTTCTGTATCCAATGGTTTACTTGATACTTTAGATGTCTCGAAGGCGGTGTAGATCAGCATGTCTAAAAGAGAACATGTGTTCTTACCTCCTCAGATCTGGTCCTGTTTGAGTCCTTTCTGTCTAGGTAGGGTCACTCCCTACAAGCTAAAAATTAGGATTCATTTGGACACATCCTTCTCATATCTTTTGATTAATTCTTTCTCTAAGTTTTATTGATATTATCTCAAATATATGTATCTTCATTTGCTTTCCTCCGTTATCTTCTGCTAATATTTCCAAATATCAGTGTCTGTTACCTGGACTAGTGAACTAGTCTCCTTATTCATCTTCCACCTCAACAATAAACTAGGTACTATATGGTCTTTTAGAAAGACTGAATTTTCATATCTCTGCTTAAAAATATTTGCTGGCTTAATTGCATTTATCATACAAGCCTAAATTCATAGCTTTGCTGACATCATAAAAGGTGTGGCTCCTCTCTACACCCACAACACTTTCATTCACATCACGCTATTCTTTGGTTTTCTGTACTTAATCTTTAGTGTCTGTATTCATTTCCTTGAGTACCCATGCCCCTCCTGATACAGAACTTTTGTATGCACTGTTCCCTGTGTCCAGTTCTTCTTTGTCTAGCTATAACTACTTGGCTTATTTCTTAAGTACTCATGTGTAATCTTTTCTGGCATGAATGAAGTGTCCCATCTTGTGCTTCTCTTTGTTGTGCTATATTGCAATTGCTTACTTACACACTTGAGACCCCAGGAGAAAAGCTATTTGAACATTTCTTTGTATCCTTAGCACAAAGCACAGTCCTGGCACATAGTTAAGTGTTTGTAAAAGGAATATATGCTTTTTGATACATTCAAAAATAGGTATTATTTTCAAGAAAAATATACTTGAAAGAAGAGATTTTTATAGAAAATAAACATAAACATTTTCTTACTTTCTTTGTTTTGCCCATTGCCTTCAGGATGGAAAGATTTAGGTCTTCAAGTGCTGCTAGTACATTCTCATACTCGCCCAGGTGCTGAGAAAAATATTCTGAAAAGTGAACATATTGAAATATATTTATGTTTGGGTATTAATAACCATAAAACAAAGCAAAAAATTGATCATTTACTCCATAAATGAGTAAAATAAATAAAATGTCAGTTATAATGAAAACTGGAAGTTTTTCAAATGAGACTAAGGGCCCAATATATTCATTTTATTTAAAATAAAGGAAAAAAACTGGGTTGTTACCATTATGCTTGAATAAAGGTTTCTTAGAGAAATAGGGGAAAAATGAATTTTTATCTACCGACAAGGATGTTTCAATTTAAAAATTGTTCTTGACAGCATATTATTATAGATCTCATTAGGGTAGTAATTTTAGAAAAAAAATTAAGCTAGATTTTATTGTGTCTTCTGGGAAGGCACTTACAGAAGTTTAAGAATCAGTGATGCCACTTAACTCAGGGGCCTCTTATGGTATCTTCCACGTAACTATTCCTGTCATGATCTAACTTTTTATATAATTTGGGCAGCACAAATGCCATCTTTATCACATTATTCAGTCACTAAATATAAATAATATATTGGATATCACAATTACAATGAAAAGTATGGGGCACAGATTGCTTCTAAACCACTAGGTTGAAATATAATAAAAATAAATGCAAAACCTCATATTTTCTTATAAAAATTGGTATATTTCTAAAATGAGAGATCTAGCCTGACAGAAATTTGTATGTTAAAAAGATCTAGAACTTTCAGGTACTGGAAAATTAATAGGCCTCACTGTTGGAATGAACTGGAGTTTATTATTGTCTCTTTTTAATGTGCCATAAATATTTGTGGAATTGAACTAAAATGATAATCACATGTAAGCCAATTGGGATCACTGGTATACATTCAGCATATCTGATGGAAACTGCTTTGATTAATTTAATTTTCCAGGTGGAATTATTTGTTGACATTTACATGAATAAAAAATAGAAAGTGCTATTGACTAACTTACTAGTCAATGAGAAGGCTTCTTTTAAGGAGAAAGAAAAGGTGGATGAGCAATGAATCAGTTCTAGATGATAGTTGTCAAAATGCAGTCTGTGCACAACGTGGGTTAACAAAATATTTTTGAGTTAACAACGTATTTTTGATGAAAAGCAAAATGCTTTCCTTACAAACAGAGTGGTACATTTCTCAAAAGATTCTTTTAAGAAAGAGTTAATTGGAAGATAAATAAGAAAGTGGATATTCCTTAAATAACTTCTTTAAAATAGCATTTTAGTTCGGTTATGATGTTGACTCTCTGATAGGGTTGACAAAGATGTCTGCCTTGTCTGTGCAATTATTAATAAATGAAAATTCTGTAGACAATGCCTTCTATGAATCGGCAAGCACTTAATGTGGCTGTAGAATATTTATGAGTTGGAAAAATAATAAGTATTAGAATGAAGTCCATACTAAGTTGAAAATGAGAACAAAGAAGAATTCAAAAAAGGTGTAATGGGATTTTAAATGCAAGAAGGTAGAAATATATGAAGTAAAAATAAAATTTTGTGCTGGAGAAGGTTTCTGAAAAATAAAAACAAGAAGTAAAGTCAATTTTAAAATAAGTATTTCATTTATGAAACATTTGGCCTAATCAGCAAAGGTACTGGGGAAGATGTGTCTTTCCACTTTGAAATTGGACCTATGTATATATATACTGATAAATCAATGACTTGAGGTTTCAGAGTTGATGCTTACTCAGACATCATTCATTCTTTTCTTTCTCTACTGATGCATTAATTCATTTTAACCTCCAAGCAGTTAGAAAGAAAATAATCACTCCCCAAGCAATATATTAACAAATAAAGTGTCTCTGAGAAGAAAAAGAATAACCCAATCCCTGGAAGGGAGCTCAAGATGGAAATCCAAGTGTAGGGGTTATTTTGAGATGGTGCAGCTCAGTGTTACTCACTCTGTATTATCACCTTCTCACTGAGGGCTAGGTGCCAGGTAGCCAGGACAAGTGGGCTCTAATGAACTCAAAGAAGGAAGTTAGATGAAAGAGCCAGAGACATCTAACCAAGATGAAGGGAGATAATTCTCTTCAACTTAATTATGGTAAATGTTCCCTTACCCATTACATGACCTAACATCTACTTACTGTCTTTTATGTGCCAGATGCTGTAATAAGAGATTAGAATATTAAAATGAAAAGACATAGACACTATCTTTAAAGAGTCTTCAATCAGGAATGGGACAGAATGTTCCAAAAAACAACTATGATGCATGCGATTATTGTTCAACAGACCAGACACATATGCAATCCACGGGGCAATCCAAGTACACATCTGCCAGGGTAGGTCAGAGAGAGTTTCACTGGGGAGACATCAACAATGGGTCAATTGGGACCAGCAGGTGGTGTAATGGTTATGTTGCTGGACTCCCATGTGGTTGACCATGGTTCAAGTCCCGAACCCGTTGGGTTAAAACATGATGGACACATGTGTGTGCATGCCCAAGATCCCCAGAGGAGAATGGAGGAGAAAGGATTGAAGCGAAGCCATCTCCTTTGAGGGGGTGATTTCTTGCTTTCTGTCTCTGTCTCTCTCTGTCTGTCTGGTAAATACAGTCTCCCTATAGCAAAAATCTCTCTAAAAAAATAACAAAAATAAATAAATAAGAACAAAACAAAAAAGCAATGGCTCAATTAACAGATGAACAGAACTTAATCTGGATAATGAAAGGGAAAGCATGAAAGAAGTGTCATTTAATATGAAGGACATAAGGGACAGGACTGGGAGCTATTTGAGGTTAGAGGTGGCAAGGAGGAGAATGCCAAAAGTCAGTGGTGAGAAAGGAAGCTGGATGTGTTGGAAACGTTCCTTGCTAGGTGGTGTTCTAACTGATTTTAGGCCAGTGTTCTTGACACTTGCATCAGAATCCTCTAGTGCTTTAATGGTCAAATGGGCTTTGGACCAGCAGCATTTGGCAACCTGTTAAAACGTAGCATCTCAGGTCCATCTCAGACCTACTATGTCACAATCTGTACTTTTTATTACTATCATTTTTAAAGATAGGGTACCAATACATCATGATCCCTTTGCATCAGCTTCAAGAGCTCCTGATAATACAGATGTGCACCACCAAACCTGGCTTTGAGAGCAGGCTGAGAATCAAACCTGAGGCTTCCACATTCAACCTGCCAAGGAGCAGCATCTACCAGTGCTCACTATGCCACATGGTCCATAACCTGAATTTAATAAGAACTTTAGGTGATCTATAGGCACATTTACGTTTGAGAAGCACTGTTTGAAGGTACTTGCTAAAAATTAAGATTAGTCTGCACTCTATGGCCAAAACTGAATGACAAGAAGATACAGAAAATGATTATAGATACCAGATACAATGTGGGAAGAGAGAGAAAATCTGAGGAAAGGCATTACAGGGAAAAATAGAGAGGCAATACATTTATGGGACACAGAAATGGGTTATTATCTGTTGAAAATAACATGTATAACATGTATAGTATTCCCAACTGGACTGGTGAAAAATGTATTCATGTTAGAATATTCACTTTACAAGCTAAGTGACATATGTGATTGAATGTATATAAGAAATTGAAATTAAAATAATATAAAATTAAGATTAGTTGTATATTTAGTTCATCTACAAAATTAGAATCTGGACTCAAGAATCATCTTTTACAGGTTCCATAGGAGATTATGATGCAGATTAAAGTTGACCACTACAAACAGCAGGAGCAGTGGAACAATTTTGAAAATGCAGAGTTAGATTCCCAAATTTTTCTGTTAGAAAGGTTACCGTGGATACACTGTGGATGATTTGGGGGATGTTGGTGATATCATCAGAAGAACAATGCTAGCTCTAATTGCCAGGAGTGCTTTTTATCACAGAACTTGCCAAAGCTGCGAGGTGGAAGGATGGTAGAATTTCTAGAATTTCA